TTTCTCACCTCTTACCTTTACAAAGCGCTTCCGCATACGAAATAGCTCAAACGAGACTTTCAATGATCTACTTGTTTTATGTGAGGCATACAACTCCTATTGTACGGAGTTCAAACGTGCGGCTTGGACAACTATGCCCCCCTCAAAACTTGGTACAGAGAGAATTCCGCCCGTTATAAGTAAGGACGTGGATTATGATATACCTTCATTCCTCCTGAAGCTTTGTACGATCTCCGTGCAGTATGGAACAATCCTTTTACTTTGAAACCCTCCATTTTCATGCCGCGACAGAGTTGACACTGCTGAAGATGGTCAATACATGCCTGATAAACCATACATCTGTCATTTCGATAGTAATGGAAATGACTGTTAAAGGAACTCTCATGGACTGCATGTATGGAGAAAACCACGTGAACAGGTCGCAACATGGTTTTCTGAGTGCACGGACTAGCGCGGCCTGCAAGCTGGATTTCCTCAACGCGGTCAGCGAGGCCTTGGACGCAGCTCATGCAGTACTCACGCTCCAGCTTGACATACACAACGCAGTTGACAGAGTTCCACTTAAGCAGCTACCACACAAGGTCAAATTTCATGGCGTGGAGTGTCCTTTTTTAATGCATGCAATCAGTGAGAATGTCACTACTGTAGGTTTTCAGTAGTGGTCCACTAGTAACTGAAGGCTTAATCCGAACTTTATTGCTGACCTCTCATCTCTCTCCTAGAGTGCCGTTACTAGTCGTTCGTCTTACTCACGTGAAATATTCTTCTTGGCGGTAGCTAGTCATTGTTGGCTCCATGTACCTTACAAGGAGCCACTCCTTGACTCCGGCCTTTATTTTCCTCTGACATCTGTCTCTCTAAGCTTTGCTCGCATGTTGCTTTCTTCATCTAAACTGTAGGTATCCAATAGTGGTCAAACATCTTAATGAGATGGCTACACCAGCAATTGCTACATCCTTTTCTATAGCGACTTTCTCTACTTAGCAGCAGCTAGTTGCCATAGCTCCCATTTAATATCGCGGATATTCGGAGCTCTCTAGGAGTCGCTCCTTTCCTACAATATTCATTCTCTTGGATTGTTTGCCTTACAGCTCAGCTGGTTTGTTGACCTATTCTGTGCCATCGTAGGATCCACTAGTAACTGTAGGCTTAATCCGAACCCTATTGCTTGCCACCCATTTCTACTAGCGCGCCGTTATCCGTCGTTCGTCTTACTCGTGTCAGCTCTTCTTGACAGCAGCTAGTCATTGTTGTCCCCATGTAAGGATGGAGTCACATTTTTGCTTTCCTACTCTTTTTCTGGAAGGTTTTTCTCTGTAATCGCTCGCTCGTTTAATTACCTATTGAAACTATAGGGATCCAGCATTTGGTCAACCTCTTAATGATATGGTTACACCAGCCTCTGATACATCTTTTCCAATAGCCACTATCTCTGCTCAGTAGCAGCTGGTCGCTGTAGGCTCTACTTGCTAACACCCGTAGCTCGCTAATGGTCAGTCCTTCCGTAGAATGTTTTTTCTCTTGGTATAGTTCTTCATAGCTCAGCTGGTTTGCTGTCCTATCCTTTGACACTGTAGTTGTTCCATAGTAACCAGAATGATTAACCCAACAGGCACTTTTGGCTACTGAATCCCGGTCCATTATCGCTATCTTTTGATCGTCTTACCTTCAACACCTAGTCTTCCCTTCATATCCACTCAATCTTTGCCTGCTTCTGGTATGCTCAGCTTCCTATCTTCATATACTCATGTACATTGTAGCTATTGTGTCTTAGGTAATCCTTACCCCTTGGAGCATATATAATTACAGCCACATCATCACTGTATCTTGGTTTCCGATAACAACCAATCGTGACTACACACCAACCTTCTAGTCCCGGGTAGAATTCGAACATCGTTAGCTTATACCTCATGAATTTCTTACCGGAATCCTGCTCTTTATCCTTATGCACATGAAAGTATTTTACCCATTAGGTCATGCCTTCTTCGTAATTAAAAACATCTTTAGCGTAATATCTGTTACACAATGTACACTAGTTGTCTCAAATAAATGTCTTAAATTAGGATTTTGATCCAATGCTAGGTACATTGACTGTCCTTTACGGTCTTCTCCCGGCCTGTTCCTCTCTCCCTTTTCTCTGAGGTCGTGAACATCTGAAGGAATCGGGATTAAACTGAGGAACTGCCTCCGTCTGGGATAGGACGAAATAACCAACAAGAACTTTCTTGGACCAAGGCATCACTTCCATTCTAACCATCTGCACCCAACCACCGATGTCCAGTGAGGGTAGCTGGACACGAATTCTTCGCTCCCCGACAAATATACATAATCAGAGAAGACTTCACGTGGTTCTGCAATGGATCAACTCATCATATTTAAAATGAATGTTTAGTTCCCGACCTACCAATGGACAGGACCCAGGAACGCAATAGGCAACCAGCAAATGCATCAGTCAGCAGAAAAATGGGACACAACGTGACTGCAAATAACCAAGCAAACAAGCGTTCGACAAGAAACATAGCCAGTTACAATTTGCCATTAAATGGATTGGCGGCAGTGTTCCAGGACGTGGTGGGTTTTCGCCTGGCAAGCGTTCTCCCTATAAAAAGCCACAATTGTCCGTTTAACAACACTGCAACGTAGCGTATGTGACTCGCCACCGAATAAAGTCACAGCCCATAACTTCACACTGCCAGGTCAACTAGCGCTCCAATTCTAGATAGGTTCGTTAGACTGGAACTTTTACATCTGCATATACTGTCGTCTTATTACTTTCTACGATACATTGACCTTTGCGTTACTTGTGCACCAACTCACTCTATCGGCATATATCTAGAGCGTGCTCTTTCATTACCTTCCAATGTATCATTCAAGATTCTAAATCTATTATTAGCTGAAGTCCCGTATCTCATGAGAGCCGAATTATTTTTCCGCATTTTCACCATTGTACTGTTCCAATCATAGACATATGAACAATTTTCTACTGTCACTGTTACAGTTGCCATAAAATGTTTGTACAGTTGTACATATCTGATCATGCCTCCGTGGGCGTGCCTCGCATAGTCGAGAATAAACTATTTATTTATTTTATTTATGTCGACACCTCCCGGGTGACTGTCCCAAGCGGTGTCCAACACAGAAGCCTTTTAGGTCCAACACTTTAGTATTTATAGCATTCAAGTCCGCAACAGCCTTTAACCCGGTCGCCCATTGGTATTTGCTGATGATCTCAAAATTGTCCGTATCTACCACCAGGTACAACCATATCCGCACTTGACTAAGTACGAAAAGACCTAAGGTTCCCATACTCATGATGGCAGCAATAGTACATGACTTTCTTTACAGCAATAGCGGGTGTCGTGCCGTACAACTGTTTGGTACTCGATGGGGCGCTCACGATTAATGGCATTCATATACAGCTCTATAAATCAGCCTAAGACCAGAGCCTGCATAACTCCGTGCGTCCTTACTTCTCTGAATAAATGCTCTTTGAACTCTTCAA